TATTGTATTGTGATTAGTATCTGAGGACAAGTAGTAATCTTGATTTTTGCAGGGAATAAAATTTTGCGTTTTTTTCTATGTTTTTTACCAGAAAAAAATTATATTGTGGCGAAATTATGTTTCAGGGTTTACTTTGATGTTTGTCACCAGAATTTTGTACCATGTCTAGGTAGCATTCTCATTGTGTCGTAGGCCCCATGATAAGGTAGCAGTATCGAGATTATCAGAGGACTTCACGATCGGACTCTCAACACCAACGACGTCATTTAAGGGCTTCAACGTTGATAAAGTAACAATAGTATTACCGTACACATGCACTGTTGGTTCTATTTAATGACTAGAGTAGAATGCGATATATATGGGAGAATGAGGGGACTGTATACAGAAGTGTTCATAACGATAGTGGTGGAAAATATGCACATGGTCAACTACATATGTTGGTGATGATGACAATATGAAAATTTTGATGAAGTTTTGGTTGGTTTCTGTACATTTCTGTCCTACTATAATGTAGCTTCGGAAACTCCTAGGATCAGCTGAGGAAAGCGATTACATATATTCCTCCAATACTGTAACAATAAATTTACCGCGAATGGGCACATTCCATGTTTCGCGAAAAACCTGGTACGGCGTACTGTTTTTTCCGAGTTTTCCGGAGTACGAAATTCACTGATGGTAGCTGTGGTGAACCCGAACGGATATGTAAGAACTGGAATGCTAAGCATCTAGTGCATCCTTAGAAAAAAAGAAACACTTCGGGGGAAGAAGTTTAGGATTGTAGACCTCTGGCATTTACCTTAGACGTGTTTTAAAGTTGAAACAATCCTCGTTGTAGTAGGAATTACGGTTGGTTGTTGCAGAGATTATTTATTGGAATAGTGAACGTGGGAAACTCTGGCTGTGTTCAGGCTGAGCAAACTAAGGTGAAGACGTTTTCATACAAGGGTAAGGAGTATTCACTTCAACATGGCTCGGTGGTTCTCGCTGCTATCACTTCCTGCACTAATACGTCTAACCCTGGGGTTATGCTAGGGGCGGGCCTGCTCGCGAGGAATGCCCGGGATAAGGGTCTAAAGGTAGGGTAGGTTTCTGTGTGGTATATCGCAATGGGGGGATATGCACATTGTCAACTACATGTGTTGGTGATGGCAATTTCAGGAAAATTCGGTCGCAGACTTCTATTGGAATTGTTGAGAGAACTTCTATAATTAGTAAGGATGATCCCGAGTTTAGCTGAGGAAAGAGAACATATAGTGCAACAGTGCAGTTTCACAACCC